TATGGCTAAACAAGTCTTTGGGGTTTTAGGTTTCAAAGATTGTATACTCCTTCGAGGTATTCCTTCCTCTCTTAAGACATCAAGAGGTGAAGTATTTTTATTCAAGATCTTTTATTTCTAATCAGATCTTCCTGAACAGCAGGAGCTTCATCAATCGATGTCGGGTAGCCAACAAATGTAGTGATATCAAGAATGTCAAAGAGGGTTCTATCACCATAAAGATCAAACATACTAAAGTTTCCAAAAGTTCTCAAAAGCATGCTCATTCAAAGATCATCAAACAATTGAAATTCCCTTGTAACGATTCTTTATGTGAACTTTGTAAGAAACATTGAGTTTGGTATCAAACTTGGCATTTTTCTTAATTGAAGTTATCCCCCTTTTTTTTTACACTTGGAGCTTTGTACATTTGCTTGAACTCATGAAATTTGAATACTTTGATGAATTTAATAATGATCTTGAAACATAAGACATATGAACATTGTATCAAGTTTGGGCTTGAATTTGGGTTTTATGAAGGTTTTGCACTTGTAACATCATACCCTCGGGATCAAATTACGCTTGAAATCTTGAACTCAAAATTCTATGAAAGCTACATGGGACTTCTCATAATTTGAATCAATATCTTGACCTTGAATCTTATATAAAAATAATGAATCAATCTGAAGGTAAATGGAACTTAAACTCCACTTTTAAAACTCTTTAAAACTCAACCCAATATTCTTCAAAACAACGAGAAAATCCAAACTTCATTCTCCTGAGAAAACCTTCGACGATGAAGGTATCACTTACAATGCGACATACCACAAAATTCTAACCAAACTTCATTTGATCATTCTTGAAATCAACAAGCATGAAACCTTAAAATTTCTCGAGGAAACTCCTGACTGACTTTGTGTTGACCAAGGTGCTTGAGAATGGGAATAAATCCTTCTTTCATTTCCACTGGGATGCAACACAATCTACAAGGGCTAGAATCTCAATGAACACACACACAAACCTTCATGTCCTTCAAGCATTCTTCACCAACCCTAACTTCACAAAATAAAACAAAACTAGTAAACTCGATTAGCTATGCATGAATGATTGACCTAAATGATATGCAACAGATCAAGGAATCTAAGGGTAAAATTTGGGGTATAACAACAATATAATCAAGATAATATCCACAATAGTATAGTCAATATAATATTAACAATTATATGAACAAGATAATATAATCAAGATATAATGACTAAAAATAAAACAAGAGTATAGTGACGAAAAGTAAAGTTAGTCGTTAGTTGATGCGAATTGAATCGGGACAAAATGTTGCGTTAAACCGTTGTAGCTCAATCTATGACGAAGATCAAACTATAGGAGGTCACGCAAGTTGACATCCGTGCTAAAAAACACGATGGAGAAATGATATTGAGGATTATTTTCCAATGTAATCGTGTCACACGAACCGAAAAGGGGACGGTCTCGTCTTAATCACAAACTTGTGTTAATTAATTGAAGGTAACATATCACAATTCCAAAGTATAGAAAATGATCTCGATGATCATTTTCTACAGATTTGAAATAATGAAGGTTAAACAACCTCAATCAACTAACGCTTATGAATATAAAGACTTCATCGATCGAGAAACGAAATGAAAAGACAAAGATATGATCTAAAATAGATTGAGAAAGGAAATGGAAATGAAATTGATCTCATCTTAATCAAGATTAATCAATAATCTATGATATTAGACTTTTGTTGACCAATATTGAAATAAAATCGAAGATGAACATCAAAGTAGAAACGAAAGAATAAATTAATAAATAATCTTACAAAATCTCTAATAAAGTATTTAACAAAATAATTAATAGATATTATGAACAAAATAAATTATCAAGTAAAATTAACAAAAGGTTTAAATAAACAATATTAAAACAAATAAGATTTGGGGGTATAATTTGGAAATGAGGGTATGAAAATTGAAAAAGGATGGCAATCACAGAAAAGGAACACTAAGGGATCATATGGGCTTTAACAAACCCGTCACCCTTTTTCATATTACAACCAGGGCAGAAATAAATAAAAAAGAATACTAAAAAACGGCGGATGAGGATCCAAATGGGCCTTAAAAAACGAATCAAACCGACCCAATATTCTTCATTCTCTTTTCAAAACAGAACGTGCACTCCACAGAGAAAGAAACGGTGCAAACATGGCGTCCGATTCAACATGGTCAAAGCACCAAAAGAAGCCATGTTCAAAATAAAGCACAACGCACTTTTATTCGCCTTCTCTTCATCAACCTTGTCTCAGTCACTTCGATTCAGCTTGGGCCAGATTTAATCCACTTCGACTTTCAGGTTTGTGTGTTTGTTTTAATTTTGATTCGGTTTTGAAGCTTACCTCACTCTCTTCTCTCTTCTTTTCATCTTATTCTTGATTTGGTTTTGGGATTGAAAGGTTTTTGCTGAGTTGTTGCTGTTGCTGGATTTTGAGTGGAAAAGAGGATGAGTGAAGGAGGAGTGATTGGGGGAAGTTTGAGAAGAAGGTCAAGGTTGAGGTTCGAGCGATGTTGATTGGGGGAAGTTTGGAAAAGTTGTGTGGCTTTGTGAATCATGGATGTGGTCCTGTACGTTTTTCCTTTTTGTGCAGGCTGTTAATTGCTGCAGCGTGTGTGGTGATTCATGGCTTGTACAGGCTTGAATTGTACGGGCCATTTTTCTTACAGCTCATGAGATGTGTGTGGATAGTAAGATATAAGTCAAGTTAGCATTTTCCTTCATGGTCATAAGTTCAAACAGATTGCACATGTTGTGGTATAGGCTGAAGTTGGAATTTTTTTTTTGTGACAATTTCTTGTTCGTAATGGACCTCTTTGGTGTAAATGGGCGTTCAAATTTAACATGGGCTTGTAATGGACTTCTGTAACGCATATCTTTTTCAATCTTTGTAATGTTGAAAATGGACAATAGGCCTTATGAATGAGCTTCAAATATTGAAATCATGATCCATATTTTTGATAGAAATTTTTGTAGCGTAATAGATTTTGAAGACTTTGCAATTGGACATGAATATTATTGACATATCCTCCGTATCTCACTTGAACCCAATCTTTGCATTAATACTTTGAATTAAATCTTTAGACATTACTAAAAATGAATCCAATTCTGATTAAATGGCTTGCCTGACTCGAACAAAAAAAAAAAACATCGATACCAATTTTCAACACCTTGAAATCCCTGTTTGAGTTTGAAAATGAAATAAATCAAATCAGTTCTTAGAAAATGGAACAACACATGAATCCATCTCGAATTTGAGCCTTGAATCAACATGAATCCCCCACGGAATGAGCAACAAATGCATTGAAATAAGAAGATAACGACTTGTCACATGGATCTCCCTACATTGCATAAAATTCTGATTCAAATGAACCCGTCATTGATGAAGCATCTATCCTAACACTGTCTGATAACATGATCTATATACAGAATATTTGAACAATCACAAAGATCCTAACTGAGAAGTGAGCTGGATCATGACGATCATTAATCCTGAAGCCATTGATAACTTGACATAACCTGGCATTAAACGCTAATCAGATGTTCGGACCCACACCACTTGAAGGGAGCACACCTTGGTCTAAATCAGGAAACAAAATCTTGTTTGACCAAGATTAAGTCAAACCAGATGAACCTCAAGAATCAATGTACAAACTCTTGACCTTGTAGCCTTGCCTGACACCCAACTCATCCTTGCAGCAACTTAAGTTTAGACAACAACATATTTTTGGGTTTTTGAGTAATTGTCAGTGGATGGATGCACAAATAAAAATTATATATAGGTAGGACAAATTTAGAGTATGACATATATTTATAAAAAAGATAATAATTATTTTGATTTTCTAGTTACCATGGAGTTTATTTTTAAATCTCACAGTTGATTTATTTTTTGCATAGTGATGTAGACTAAGATTTCTTGTTAGACAAGATTGGTACTCCAAAGTCTTACAATCTCTTCCTAAGGGATTTTGGTTTGGTCCCCATATTTATCTTTATCTTTTGTCATTATTTGATTTTGTTCTTTGGTTTAAGAAAAAAAGTGTATACATTATAATAATTATAAAATATAACAATGAACAAGCTACATTATTAATCATTTATTTTATATTTTAAATGTTGGTAGACCATCAGATACACAACTTTAACAACAACAACAAAATACTATGGTCATTATCCTTACTATTGACTTGTAATATTAATATCATGTCTGTTTCTAGGCCCTTAAAATTTTTGAAGACATGGACTCTAAGGGATACTTGCAAATATGTAATTGTTGAGAATTGGAAAAAGACAATGGTTTGTAGTAGGACTGTCTTTTAAAGTGTGTAAGATGGGTTATAGCAAAAGACCTCTAGTTTTTCAGAATAAGATTGTAGTTAAATATAACTTCGTAAAATTTTCATATTTATACAATGACTAAATATGACCCCTAAATAATTAAGAGGGTCCTGGTTAGTAGTCATATGTTTATATTAACTCCTAAGCTAAGGGCTTTAAACCCGTCTTGAAAAAATGAAACAAGGAAATCTTTGGCAATGTTCCACCTATCAGTTGCAAAAGGTTCGAACGATTTAGACAAGATGCAAGGGCTTATAAAACAACACAGGTTATAAATACTTGCTTGGAGAGAAAGAAAGTAAAACTCAACATTACTTGGATGAAGCTCTACATTTGGAGGACCAATTTTTGCAAAATAAAATGAACCTTTTAGTATGCATTCATCAATCATGTTCATTCTCTACATCACATATTTTTCTTCTTTTCTTTTTTTGAATCATGATGGAGGAAAGCTCAAAACCACTTAAATTATCACAATTGTCATAAGCTAATGAACAAAAATGACTTGCTATATGGGTCAAAAATTACAGAACATTTCTGTTACATATAAAATTGTCAACACTGTAAAGTTTATATAGATGAGACATCATCACAAGAGGGAAATGAATGATAGAATCTATTCATTCATTTTTGCTCCGCTTTCGCTTCATTCTACTATAAGGTCCAACTGTACTGTCCATAATATACATGTAAATAACCTGACTCCAAGATTTATACGACGACAAACTATCGTAATACTCGGGAGCAATCTCCTTCACCTTGTGAAGTTTGTGTCCTGGAATTCTCGGAAAATCATGGTGTTCATTATGGTAACCTACATGCCATGTGAGAAGATTCAGAGGTCCATAGTAAGAATATGTCTCTTGTTCAGGTTTGAATACATAATGTTCTGAAATGAAATGGCCCGCCATCGGATGCATCCCTCCACCTAAAAACGTCGCAAGTATGAGATAAGCCAAGGATTTCCAACTCCAGAAATAAACCATCGACACGTCAAGGGCAATCTGAATAGAGAAGTTCATAAACTCCCATAAACCAGGAGGCTTCGGTTTAAGAAACAACGGCCGCAACGCGTAGAAGAATAGCTGTAAAAAGACCCAAATGGTTTTCGCAAAAATATTCGTTACAACATGTGCTTCCGTGAGACTAGGGATGTCCATATCAACCCCGTCTACGCCTTGGAAACGATGGTGCTCCAAGTGATACTTTTGAAAGGTTACTGACATGGGGACGCCGATTGGGAGGTTAGCGAAAATCCCAAGCCAACGGTTGCATGCCGGAGACGAGAAAGCTAGATTGTGACTCATCTCATGGATTGCCAAGAAAAGATTGTGGTTGAGAAATGAACCGAAAAAATAGGCTACAAGAAGAATCTTCAGCCATCCTGCATCTTTAAGAAAGATAGCAGTACCAAGCTGAAGTACAACAACAACACTAATCTGCAACAAAACAAAACAATTTCCAAAGATCATCAACATGCACCCTACCATTTACAGTACTTTTTTCGCCGGTCCTATGATCACATGTCAATTTCAATTTTAATACCTTTGGCAGCTTTTCAATTTTAATGAACATCAAACCGGACACAAACGCAAATAATCAATGTATCTAAACTATTATATAGACTAAATATATTGAATATCAAATAAATCTAAAACGTAATTGAATACAACTATACAACTGCGAATAATAATTTAAAATACTAAAAACACTTAAATACAATGACATGTGTATGTCTTTGTCTGACATGACACCAGGGTCTCATAGACAAAGTCAAACACCATCGCTAAATTTAATTTTCAAATTATTACCGACACCGGCATTGATATACTGGTGTTGTGTCCGGCCTATTTGTGCATGTGCTTCATAGTACAAGACATTCTCCACATGTGGTGAAACATGTAATCTAAGAATCGTACTATAAAGTACCATTAAAAAACACATTTGCACATGCACCTATTTTCCTAAACCAATTGACCTTTAAGAAAAAGCAAAACCTTCAAAACATTTATTCAACTTGCATTTATACAAATAGATCTAGGTGCATTATAAAATTCCTCGAAAACACATTCACCAGAAACATAACACACGACTCATACAATATCAAACACGACAGCGACACAGACATAATTTTTTTTAGAGATGCCGGTACTCCCAACCAAAATTCTCAAAAACACAACACATTATGAAACCAATTGAAAAAACTTGAACGAAAAGATAAACAAAAAACAAAAACGGAACCTTGAATAATGCGGAGTAATCAGGACCAAAGAGCTCCTTAATTTGAGGGTATTTGGAGAGAATTAGACGACGGCGAGAAGCATGTGGTTCGTCGGTATATGACCAGAAGAAATCTTCGGCCATCATAACGCCTTCACCATCACGATCTTCTCCTCCGCCAATACCCATTTTTTTTGTCTCCTTTTCTTTTTCTCACATTACATGGCTCGAATTATGAGAGTGAGAACGTTATATATAAAGAGAGAGAAAAAAAAATGTGGGGTTGGAATATGGGAAATGGTTAAGAATAGTGAGACAGAGCATCTATCATCACATTCCTTGATTCTTACTGGTGGCCGTTTGGTTTGTACCCCGACTTTACAGCCTGGAATTTTTGTTGTGAAACCCTCGATTTAGCTAAATTAATAATCTATTTTTATTGCCTTTTGTGTTTTTTATTATTTTTATATTTTTTGTTTTTTATTATAAATTTTTAATAAGGCGGGTACGATCCACCAAAGTTTTAGTCAAACATATTTTAATATATTGGTTAGTTAATGTATTTTAAATGTTTTTATTGTATTACGTGAATTTATAAATATATATAAATTTTATTTACGGATATGTATTTTTAGACGTATCTCTTACATACTTTAATTAAGGTCATTTCAAGAGGTGCCTTATAATTTGGGTTATTTTTTCGAATATATATCTCCGGAACATTTTAAAAAAGATCTTAGTTATATACCAGTTTAATAGAAATTTTAGAGTTATATTTCTAGAATTATAGACGGTATTTTGAAATTTTTTGTCATCTTTGCATGTCAGATATTTCCAGAGATTCATCTTCGGAAATTTCTGATAAAAGAAGAAGTTGCATGATCATACATCCATTGTTGTCATATTTGATTTTCAACTAAACCTTTCACCAAAAAACTCATCATTCTGAATCTCACTCTAAATCTTCGTTCTTTTGGTTCATCACATCATAGGGAGGAAAAGAAGATATAGTTTTAGGTAAATATTTTTTTCCCTCTTCATTGATCACATTAATCAACATTTTTTCTTGAAAAAAGTTGCTTTGTGTCTGGAAATGTATCTCTGAAACATGTAAGAACTTTTTCGGAGATGCATTTTCGAAAATTGTCTGTGTTTGATTTTCAAGTCTGTATTCAGCAGTACCGCTTATATATAGTCATGGTTTTAATTATTTTCATTAGATACGGTGCACCCTGATGTTTTTTCCGAAATAAGTTGTTTCTCCGAATGTCCAAGGTGTTGTTGTTTATCAGAATGTCTAGGTGTTGTTGTTTCTCCAAATATCCAAGATGTTGTTGTGAATGCAATAGATGTTGGCAACCAATTTAAAAACAAGCAAGAGTTTGAATCTTGTGATCAAATGTTTCAATAGATTCGTATGGAGGCCTATAAACTTGGATTTGGTGTGGTTATCGGAAGGTACGATAATGGTTAGAATATAAGATGTGCTTCTGTGACAATGACGTGCGAAAGAAGTGGAAAATATAGAACTCATCTCCGGAATTTTAAAAGTGACGACATTGGTTTAAGAAAATGTTAGTATCTTTTTAAAGTGTGTGGTTACATGTTGACAAACAAAAACTAGAGATTTAATGTGATATGTGGTTTGCATAACCATGATTTGTGTTTAAAATTAGTCGGTCATCCTAGTGTATGTCGGCTCAAGTCAGAAGAGAAGGAATGTGTTGTTAGCATGACCTTGAATCTTGTTTAACCAAAAAATATACTTGGAACATTGAAATGAAAACGACCCGAAAATATATCAAATATCAAGCAAGTTTATAATATTCGGTACCTCACTAACGAGGTGCTTAGGGGGGGTAGAACTGAGATGCGACAACTCTTGAAACTATTGGATGTTAATAGTTATGTCTCTAGGTACCAAACATGCGGGATGGAGTTACTGTTAGAGATATTTTTTGAACTCATCTTGTTAGAGATGGAAAAATGGTGAAAGCGAGTGTGGTTGTGGAAAAAATAGTGGATGCGTGGAATCGTATAATAAATTTTTACATAAAAGAGCTATATGCCGATTTTGTTATGCATTTCAGAAAACTGTGTGAAATGTATCCAAATTTGTTGAAATATGTTGAAAGCACAATTCTTGACCAGGTGAAAGAGAAAAATGTTTGTGCTTGGATTGATAATGTTAGACACTTTGGAAATATAACAACTAACAGAGTTGAGTCTACCCATACTACTTTAAAAAATTGGTCGGAAAATAGTAAGGGGAATTGTGTAGATATTGGGACTCTGTGAACCACATAATTCAAAACCAGCATAATGAGATACAAACATCATTTGGTCAGAGTATCATAGTTTTTTTTAACACATATTTAAAGACAGCACTCTATATTCTCAATTGGTCGATAATATTTCTCGGGCGGGTTTGAACTATATTTTTTACGAGGCTAAACGAGCTGATAATATAGGCTTCAATAGCGAAAAGTGTGGATGCACAATTATGGAAATATATGATCTCCCATGTGACATTGTCTGGAAAAAGGTGGTTCAACAGACATTGCAAGCAAGATGCGTCAAGAAGTCTGGAAAAGAAAAGGCGAAACAAAGAAAGAATTTTGCTAATGATGAAAAATCAAGCGAGAACTCAAATAATTAATTAGATTCAACCTAGAAAGTCACAGACAACTCGTATTTAGGGAAGAAGGTTGACATTAAGGAGGTGCAATGCTACAATTGTAAAGGACTCGAGATTATCGAAGAAAGAGGAGTCAAAAGCAAAACATAATGACGAAATAAAATATACACATGCTGGAGGAAGAAAATATGATGAAATACTACTTATGAAAATTACATAGTCGAATAATGAACAAACCAATATGTGGTACCTAGATTCAGGATGTAGTAATCACATGGTAATAAAAATTGGTTTACCAAGTTAGATGAATCGGTCAAGAAAGTGATCAGGTTAGCAGATGTTAGACATGTCATATAAAGTGAAAAAAAATGTAGTTGTGGTGAGAAAAGATGGTAAGAGGGTCAGTGTTACTGACATATTGTATGTACCTTCGATGCCAAGTAATTTGATAAACAAAGGTCAATTATTTGCCAAAAGGTATAACATGAAGTTGGAAGAAATTTGATGAAGGTGTATAATGGTGAAGAAAGGATGATCTTAAAGGCACCATTGACATATTTGGTTTTCAACTAAACCCTTCACCAAAAAACTCATCATTCTGAATCCATTTTTCACTCTAAATCTTTGTTCTTTTGGTTCATCACATCATAGGAAGGAAAAGAAGATATAATTTCAGATAAATATTTTTTCCCCTCTTCATTGCTCACATTAATCAACATTTTTTCTTGAAAAAAGTTATTTTGTGTCTGGAAATGTATCTCCGAAGATGCACTTTCAGAAATTGTTTGTGTTTGATTTTCAAGTTTGTATTCAGTAGTAGCGCTTATGTATAGTTATGGTTTTAATTATTTTTATTAGATACGGTACACCCTGATGTTTTTCCAAAATAATTTGTTTCTCCATATGTCAAATGTGTTGTTATTTCTCAGAATGTCTAAGGTGTTGTTGTTTTTCCAAATGTCCAAGATGTTGTTCTGAAGGAGATAGATGTTGGCAACCAATTTAAAAACAAGCAAGAGTTTTAATCTTGTGATCAAATGTTTCAATGAATTTGTATGAGGCCTATAAACTTGGATTTAGTGTGGTTATCGGAAGGTACGATAATGGTTAGGATATAAGTTGTGCTTCTGTGACAATGACGTGCGAAAGAAGCGGGTATATAACTTCTCTCCAAAATTTTAAAAGAGACGGCATTGGTTCAAAAAAATGTGAGTGTCCTTTTAAAGTGTGTGATTACATGTTGACAAACAAAAACTGGAGATTTAATGTGATATGTGGTTTGCAAAATCATGATTTGTGTTTAAAATTAGTTGGTCATCCTAGTGTATGTCAGCTCAAACCAGAAGATAATAAATGTGTTGTTGGCAAGACCTTGAATCTTGTTTAACCGAAAAATATACTTGAAACATTGAAATGGAAACAACCCAAAAATATATCAAATATCAAGCAAGTTTATAATATCTGGTACCTCACTAACAAGGTGTTTAGAGGGGATAGAACTGGGATGCAACAACTCTTGAAACTATTGGATGTTAACAGTTATGTCTCTAGGTACCAAACATGCGGGATGGAGTTACTGTTAGAGATATTTTTTGGACTCATCTTGTTAGAGATGGAAAAATGGTGAAGACGATATATTTCAACATGAGTGTGGTTGTGAAAAAAATAATGGATGCGTGAAATCGTATAAAAATTCTTACATAAAAGAACTATATGTCGATCTGTTATGCATTTCAAAAAAGTGTGTGAAAAGTATTCAAATTTGTTGAAATATGTTAAAAGCACAATTCTTGACCAGGTGAAAGAGAAAATTGTGCATGGACTGATAATGTTAAACACTTTAGAAATACAACAACTAACAGAGTTGAGTCTGCCCGTGCTACTTTGAAAAATTGGTTGAAAAATAGAAAGTGGGTTTGTGTAGAGACTGGGACTCTGTGAACCACATGATTCAAAACCAGCATAATGAGATACAAATATCATTTGGTTAGAGCATCATAGTTTTTTAACACAGATTTAAAGACAACACTCTATATTCTCAGTTGGTCGATAATATTTCTCGGGCAGGTTTGAACTATATTTTTTACGAGTCTAAAAGAGTTGATAATGTAGGCTTCAATAGCGCAAAGTGTGGATGCACAATTGTGAAAATATATGATCTTCCTTGTGACATTGTCTGAAAAAAGGTTGTTAAACAGACATTGAAAGCAAGATGCGTCAAGAAGTCTGGAAAAGAAAAGGCGAAACAAAGAATTTTTTTTGCTAATGATGAGAAATCAAGTGAGAACTTAAATAATCAATTAGATTCAACCTAGAAAGTCATGGGCAACACGTATTTAGGGAAGAAAGTTGACATTAAGGAGGTGCAATGCTACAACTGTAAATGATTTAGTCATTATGCTCGAGATTGTCGAAGAAAGAGGAGTCAAAAGCAAAATATAATGACGAAGTAAAGTATACACATGCTGGAGGAAGAAAATATGATGATATACTACTCATGAAAATTACATAGTCGAATAATGAACAAACTAATATGCAGTACCTAGGTTCAGGATGTATTAACCACATGACTGATAATAAAAATTGATTTACCAAGTTAGATGAATCGGTCAAGAAAGTGATCAGGTTGACAGATGTCAGACATGTCATATCAAGTAAAAAAGAGAACATATTTGTGGTGAGAAAAGATGGTAAGAAGGTCAGTATTACTGACATATTGTATGCACCTTTAATGCCAAGTAATTTGATAAACAAAGGTCAATTATTTGTCAAAAGGTATAACATGAAGTTGGAAGAAATTTGATGAAGGTGTATAATGGTGAAGAAAGGATGATCTTGAAGGCACCATTGACATATAACAAAACCTTCAAAATAGATATCAACACAATTGTACACTTTCTCCAAATATGAGTGTCTCTCATGATATAAATCTCTATTTGGGCTTCACCTGGATCAACTATCAAATAGGCCAACATCATGTCTAATGCCTCAAGTTTGGAGATTGACATCTATCTCTATTTGGGCTTCATTTGTGTCAACTCCCAAATAGGCCACCATCATGTCTGGTGCCTCAAGTTTAGAGATTCTATAGTGGTTTAGCAATTTTTTCTTAATCGAAAAGATGTAAGAGGCATGAAACATCATTAAGGGTGATGGACATCTCACTAATAAGAATGTAAAAAGATGATGTCTCTGAGTGCCATCTCTCCACAAGAGGTGCCAACATGGTTAACTGTCTCGTACCCATTCACACATAAACCTCGCAACACAGATAGTTACAATATATCCTAAAACCATGCTGACATATTCAGATTTCGAAGATGCATTTTCGTAAAATCATAAACACAAAATGACAAGAAACGTAAAAACCCAACCTGCGTTAATGCCCTGATCTTAAAAAAAATGAATGCATATTTCTATAATATTACGAATGTAACTACATCCTAATATATCTTAAAAAACTTGTTAACTAATGAATAGTGGAAGAAACTCACTAAATATGAATAGTTGAGAAAGGTTGGAGGGGTGTTCTAACTAGAAAAATGACATAATTATAATTTACTCAAGAGCTCTTTTGGTGTTTCAAAAGTTTAACAAATAAAAAAGAAGGGAGAAATATTGTGCGGGTTCTATAAATTAAAACTCATCTAAAGATGCATTTCCGTAAAATCACTCTTTTGAAATCAAACAGAATCGCCATAACATTGATACAAAGATGCTCTCCCAAATTAAAATTTAGATAAACAAAATACTTATTTACAAAGTGTTAAAATATGTGTATTTTAAATACGTCCAAAAATACATTATTGAATATAAAAAGCATTTTTTATTTTTTACTGGGATGCACATGCACCCCATAAAATGTACAAAGTAGCCCCTTATTTTATATCCAATATGCTATATATGAATTGGATTCTAATTTTGATAAACCCAATCCAGACTGACTCATGTACACTCCTAAATATTAGTCAATTTTCTGCCCCGCACTTATCTTCCACCAGAGTTGAAATTTCAATCATTACCTCCGCCACCGATGTCAATTTCCGGCATCCGTTTCTGCCACATTTATAAACATCTACACCCGAACCCCTGTTGTCCCCACCCTACCACCCCAACTTTGAATGAGTGCATGCAGTTTTGAATTTTGTTGTTATACCTGATTGCAGAGTCAAAAAATGTTATAACTATCAACCTCTCATTTAGGTTACAAGGAGGCATGGAGAGTTAACCTCATATATGTCCACCCTATCTTCTTTCATACAGTTTCAGAGTCAAGTTGTTTGAAAAGAAATTCACATTTATATAACAAGAGGCACACACATAATATGCAAACCTCTTAATAAGAGTAACTCAATCTGTACAAAGATATACAAACGTGCTACATACAATTTACCATCGCAAACTCGGGGCTGGATACTCGTGGAAGACGTCGAAGAAAGAACTGCAACTCTATAAACTAATTTCACCAAATTGCTACATTCAAGGTTTATATGACTAAACCACAAGGAACCCCTTTATCTTAGGTGAGAATCATAGGGGTCGAAAAGGGAGTCTGGAATGATCAAAGGTAACTTATCTATGTACATGAAAAGTCTTCTGAGATTCTCCCTTGTCACCGTTTCCATGTCAACTACATCTCGACTATCGGTGAATACCCAGAGATCGCACGAGTTCACTCTTTTAAGACTGTCACGACAAAAGGGGCATGACTGTGATCTTGCACTCCTGCAAAAGAAAATACATGTTAGAATAGATAGTCGGGAAAGAATAAAAACATCATAAAACTGGCTCAGTTGAAAACTGAGTTGGCACAACTATAGACTCAAATTTCGCCGCAACTCAGAAGAAAACGCGAGTTCATGGCCGAGTTAGAAGTTGGAATCAGGCAAAATGAGTGAAATTGTGAGTTTAACAATGATAGGTTTTGATTTTTGTATTGAAAGAACTGGCTCAAAGATGAGTTGGAATTTCAGACTAGGCAAGAGAAGTCTATATGTCTTCTTCACGTCCTGTTGCAACCGTTCAAAATCAGGGTTGCAAAATGTCACAGAACCTGTTGTCGTGGTCGACGCGGACAAAGCCTAACAATCTCATGTTTATGATCCGAGTTTTCTTAAGAAAAACAAGGTATCTAAAAATCTCAAGTTTAACAACCTTGCGTGCTTCTTCCTTGCATTGAAAGAGCAACAAACTTCAGTGAAGGTGAAAGGGCAATGATCACCACTAAACCACACAATTCAAAAACAATGATTTGGATATGCAACTAATAAAATAACACTAATCCAGATAAAGAATTTAATAAATATTCCTACATTAAATCACATCATACAAAATATGATTCTCGAAAAATTGGAGTTGGGTTTTGGACAAAGAAATCATAAGGCATTTTGCTGATGAAATATAGAATTAAGATGTAGAAAACGGAGAAACAAAGCCACAACTTTATACTTCTTAAAACCAACAAGCCATGATCGTAAAATAAGAAGCGTGTGCGATAGAAAGGAAGAAAGATAGTACCATTCATGGTAACATTTGAGGCACATGACATGGTTGCAGTTGGGCAATACAATCTTACTATTCATCTCCATGCATATTCCACATTCTTCTTCTCTTTCAAGGTCAATGTCTGAGGATTGTTTGTGCTCCTCGTCATCTCTTCTACGGTACCTCTCCATACATACAACCTTCTGTTTTTTATCTTCCGCATCAGTGACACCTTTTTCAAGTTGTATTAAAGACGGATATATGATCGCTGATCAACATAGAATTTCAATACATCAGCAATCCACTAAAATGCTGTTAAGCGCTAACAATTTCTGTGTTGGACCATTTCATACAAAATTTTGCTCTAACTTTAAATGGACCCCCGTTAGTGGACGTTTTAAAAAAAAATTCATTATTACTTGAAAAAAAAGGAAGATATACCGTAGAATTCCCTAATACTTGCTTTTCTCTCATGGGTTGACATACTAGTTGTCCCATCCACATACACCTGCAGCATGAACAAAATTTGTCACCTTAGACTCCAGTTTGGATAAACAACTTAATTGAGTGCTTATAGCATAATAAGTGCTTATGTCTACGCTATCTTTATAACAAAAGATCAACAAAATTCAAACTCTTTCCTTGTATAAGCTATAAACTAGTTTCATAAGCTGTATTTATAAACTCTGCCAAACAATCTAGCAAGTGCTGTGTTGACGTCAGTAGATAAACTCAAATAAGCCGGTTCAAACAGACCTCAAATTTCTCATTCAAAACAAACACAAAAAAAGCAAAACACTTAACCTTGTAAATTAGGATTCTTAATAGTCCAAGGGCTCCAGCAAGATTGCAATCTGTCCATTGTACCAGAAAAAGAAACAAGTGTGCTGCTGGACTGTATGACATTCTCATCTGAAGACACGCGCCATCATATTCCCTAGGAAAATCCGATGCTCTACAACCCAATAACATGAAGTTATAACTTCCATACTCAAAAGCCTCATGCATTAGTATTTGCTAGCTATGAAGCATGGACACAAACACACAGATACCAGACACGTCATCAACACTGATCCACTCATACATCAACACCGAATGAATAAGTTAAACGATACATCAACACCGAATGAATAAGTTAAACGTAGTCACGAATGATAGTGGCGCATACGAATGTTTGACTTGAAAGGAAAATTTTATAAAAAAAAATCAGGGGTTAAAGTAAACCCCAGAAAATAATTCCAAAGAAAAATTACTCAAACTCAAAATCATGATGATCCAAAACTAAAAATAAAAACTTTAAACAAAGGATGAATACCCTTTAAACCAAAACAAAATAAAAATTGATTTTTTTCAAAAGGGTACGAGAATTGAAGGAAAAAAAAAACTTACAAGGTATTGGCATGATGAATATCAGCTTCAAGAATTTTTAGAGATTCCTTAAAAGACCTTCCCATGGAAGAAGAACCGCCACTTATGTACATATCTCCTCGTACTCTCTCCCAGATTATTGTCAAACCAAAACAGTAGTACTAGTTTGTTTTTTGGATCAAAAAACAACAACAATTTTCATACTAGTTCTTTTCTCTCTCTCTAGTGTAGAATCTAGAATACGCCTTCTATTCTCTTCTTAGGGTGTGTTTGGTTCGGGGTATATGGAGGGGAGGGGAGGGGAGGGGAGGGGAAATTTTTAATTAAATATGTTTGGTTCAAATTTTAGGAGGGGAGGGGAGGGGAGGGGAGGGGAGCAAAATCCCTCCAAAACACACTTTTTGGTTCCCTCCGAATTGGGGGGATTTGGAGGGGAGGGGAGGGAATATGAGTTCTAATATTTAAAAATTATTATATTTACTAAAATATCCTCAGTTTAATTTTATTATTTCAAAACTATTTGTTATCTTTTATGTTACTGTTTTTTCTCGATTGTTTTCATCAATTTATTATAATTGTTCTTCACCTTTAAATTATTTTATAATTTTTATAATTAATATAAATCATAATCATTGTCTTTTTTTTTATAAAAAAAATTATGTTTCGTTATATTCGTTTTTTTCTTTTAATTTTGTTATGTACTCTATCATATTTTGTTTTATATCAAATTGTAAACCATATCATTTTATTTATTTTTGTTTATTCATTTTATTAAATATTTTGAACCATTAATATTTTGTAATAAGTTATTTTATATATTTGTTTTTTTATATGATTCATCACAATTTAAACGATGTTATTGGCATATAGTTTAATTTATGTTGGAAAGTTATAAGTCGAATCGATTGTACTCAATTTTTTAACTTTAGTGACAAATAAATATTTTTTTAATCACTCAATATTAGAAATTTTATTACCAAGAAAAATACGCACGAATTTTTCACATTTTAATATCATATGACTTATATAAGATCATAAGGATAAAAATGTAAATTATTAATAAAACCCCTCCCCTCCCCTTCCGAACCAAACACATTTTTAATTAAAATCCCTCCCCTCCCCTCCCCTCCTCTATTTTGAACCAAACACTTATTTGATTAAAAAATTCCTTCACCTCCCCTCCCCTCCCCTCCCCTTCATTAAAATCCCTCCCCTCCCCTCCCCCTCATTTGAACCAAACAGACCCTTAGTGTCCAAAAGCTATATAGTATACACGTGGCAGTTTTCTATTTATTTAATTGTGTTTTGGTAATTGAGGGAGTTCGTGGATGAATATGTGAGGACAGAGTTATCCACTTTCCCTATACATTATACTAACACGTTCCCTTTTTCCACACCTATACCTCTTTTTAATTTTATGTTTTTTTATTTATTAATAACACCGATAATCATTTTATTTTATTTTTTATATAATTTAGATTTAGATGTTCCTACAATTGTAAGGAGAAAAGAAATTAGGTATCATTTTATAATTTTATTTTTATTTATTATATTTATTATGTACAAAAGAGAAATGTATAAAATTAAAAAAATAAATAATAATAAATGTTAGAGTATATTAAAAATAAATTAATAATATTATATTGAAATTATAAAATAATTTATAATTTGAGATCAATTTTTTTATAAAATAATTTATAATCTGAGATAGAAAGAATAAATAATAAATTTTCTATCAAAGTGGTTAGAGTTAAACTAACTTCCTAGAGGAATTAAAGGTTGACTGAGTAATCTAATTTTCAATGAGAGTTATCTAATACTCCCACAAGTAGGACTATACGTGGAAAAGAGGTTAAGCTTCACGAGAAAACATGAAAAAGTAGGAGCGAGGAAGGGTTTGGTTAAAGAATCAACTATTTGTGCAGATGATGGAATAAGAAACAACTTTATAAGACCATGTTTCAGTTTCTCTCGGATGATGTGATAGTCGATTTTAATATGTTTCGATCGTTCGTGGAAGTTGGGATTGTAGGCGAGGTAGACAGCAGAGCTATTGTCGCAATATATGGAGGTTGGTTTGTTGAAATTGATGTGTAGATATTTGAAGCAGTATTGTAACCATTGAACTTCACAAGTTAAAGTGACAAGTGCTCGGTATTCGGCTACAGAACTAGAGTGAGATATAGTTGTCTGCTTCTTTGATTTCCATGAAATGAGTGTTGGAAATAAGACATTTTGTGTTTAGGAAAAGTGTGTGGGAATATTAGAGGCTTAAAGAGAAACTTGATAGGTAGAAGAATTATTTATGGAAGAGAGAACTTTGTATTTTCCTTGATACAAAAGTGTAGAATTACATCTCTATTTATAATACTCTAAGGAAAACTCTAGACACACTAATTATAGAGAGTTCTCAACTCTAGGAATTCCAATAGCATTCTAGAGAATATTACAACCCTAAGAAATATCTAGACACTCCAAATATTACAAGAGTTTTCTAGAAACATTAATTAAAATTACTTAAGTCCAAAATAATTAAGCCCAAAAATCCAAATATGTTTAGGCCCAAATCAAGTTTAATCTTTCAACATCCCCCATTAAACTTGATTTGTGACTCCAAGCATACTCCTTAGCTTTACGAAAGTTTCCAACTTGAGTGGCTTGGTGAAAATGTCGGCAGCTTGATCTCGAGACATCACATACTTCAACTTCACATCCTTCTTCTCGATGCATTCTCTTATGAAGTGGTAACGGGTGTTGATGTGTTTATTTCTTTCATGAAATACAGGATTATTTGCCAAAGCAAGTGCTGATTTATTGTCAACACATATTTCCATAGGATCTTCTTGTGGCATTTTTAACTCTTTCAACAAGTTCCTTAGCCAAATTGCATGGCAAACGCATGATGTAGCGGCAACATATTCGGCTTCACAAGTTGACAGTGTGACGATAGGTTGCTTCTTTGACATCCAAGTGAAAACAATATCTCCCATAAAGAACACAAAACCACTAGTGCTCTTTCTATCGTCCAAGTCTCCACTTCAATCGCTATCACTATAGCCAATAATTTCATAATTGTTAGAAGAGTAATAGTGTAAGCCAAAGTTTGTTGTACCTTTGATATATCGAAGGATTCTCTTTGCCGCCTTGAAGTGAGTTGTTGTTGGAGCTTCCATGTAACGATTTACGACTCCTACAACATAGATAATATTCGGCCTTGTACTTGTCAAGTAACATAGACTTCCAACCAAACTTTTGTAAAGAGTTAGATCCACAATCTCTCCATTTTCTTGCTTACTCAACTTGCTGCCACATTCCATCGGGGTGCCAACCGGATTGGCATCATCCATCTTGAACTTCTTAAGGATTTCCTTTGCATAGCCTTATTGGGTGATAAAAATTCCTTTGTCTTCTTGCTTTACTTCAATACCAAGATAATATGCCATGAGCCCCGTATCTGTCATCTCAAATTCATTTGACATGTCTTTCTTGAACTCTTCGAACATGCTTAGATTGTTCCCAGTGAAGATAAAGTCATCAACATATAAGCACACAATCAAAATATCTCCATTTTGCGCTTTAATATAGAGTGCATGCTCATATGGACACTTGATGAAATTCTTGTCTCAAAAGTACTTGTCGATTCGAATAGTCCAAGGTCTCGGAGCTTGCTTGAGTCCGTACAACGCCTTTTTCAACTTGAGGATTTTTTCTTCTTGCCTTTTACTTCATATCCATGTGGTTGCTCGATATAAACTTATTCTTCGAGATAACCATTCAAGAAGGCCGACTTCACATCCATTTGATAGATCTTCCATTCATTCTGGGCTGCCAAAGAAATGATCAGTCTAATAGTTTCAAGACGAGCAACGGGGGCAAATACCTCATCATAGTCAATTCCTTGTCTTTGACTATAACCTTTTGCCACCAATCTTGCTTTGTATCTCTCCGCGTCTCCTTTTGTATTCTTTTTTACCTTGTACACCCATCTTACTCTGATTGCTTTGTATCCTCGTGGAAGTGTAGTAAGTCCCCACGTATCATTCTTCGTGATTGACTTTATTTCTTCATCCAAGGCGTCTCTCCACTTTACGTTTTCAACAGCTTCTTGATATCTTAGAGGCTCGCAATCACCAAAAAGACAAAAGAGGTTAATGTCATTTTGGTTTTCGGTTACCTCATAAAGCTCTTCAATGCTCCTTAATCATGGTGTCCTCTCACTTGAGCTTGTTTCATCCAACCTTGGCGTCGGTGAGGCAGGTGATGTAATATGTTCATTTATCATTAGTTGTTCCATTTCATCTTCTTCTTCTTCAAAATAAGGAAGAAAATAATACTTGTCTTCTTGAACACTTCAACCTCAACAATCTTCTTCTTCGAACTCCACGTCACGACTTATGACAATCTTTCCACTATTTGGATTATAGAGCTTGTACCCTTTGGAGCTTGAGTCGTAACCCATGAATACATACTTCTCACTTTTATCATCGAGCTTTGTTCTCCTTTCATCTAGAACATGGGTATATGAAATGCTTCCAAACACCTTGAGGTGAGAGTGTTAGATGCCAAATTTCACTTATTTAATCTATCAAACGTTGGCATTTTTCACTCATTTTCGTCAATTAAGTGTTGAAAACCACTCTTGTTTTGGTTGGTTTGCAACATTATGAGAAAATCTCTTGGTACCTTTGATTTGTGTGTTATTGTGCAGGAATTAGGCATAAAACAAGTGAAAAGAAAGACACAAGAAATGGGCAAGGAAACCAAGACAACATGCAAAAACCACCAAAATGTTGTCATGTTCGCTACCTGTTCGCTACCTGTTCGATGGCTGTTCGCTAGGCAAACGTGACAGATCCTGAATATGTATTTAAGTGATTTTCTTGCTTTTTTAGGACATAATTTCATTTTGTAACATTTTGGATAGCAGAACTTATCTTTCTTCATTTCTTCTAGAGAGAGAAACACAAAACCCTAAGGGGGAGGAGGTAAGATCTTCGATCTCTTGTTGGGGTTTGGATTGTAATCTTTTGATACCTTATGTATTTCATCTAATATATGTTTGTGAACTTATTTTGGATTATCTATTGATTGAATATCTTTGATTATGTATCTG